AATTAAATTTATTATTTATCAATGAATTGATATGTAATGTCAACGGATATTAACATAAGATACGTATCAGTGATCGTTACATCATTTCTTTTTATAAAAAAGTTCGGCTCAGCTGCTTATAAAATACCGAAGGTGAAATATCTTCACATGAATGAACTTGACTGGTCACGTACTCGCCATTTATTGTAATTTCCTTGTTCGGTGTTATTTCTCTTACCGAGATACTTAACATATTTTTAATCTCTTAACTTGTGAAAAGTCGCCATTATTCTTTTACTACGGAGCACCAGTTTAGCCCCTGTTTGAGCCACATTATTTTTTTCACTCTCATTTTTCTACTCATTTTCAACCACACATTCTTCAATAAAATAATATTTTTCATCACATCAATAATTTTTCCTTCTTTTTCAACCACATATTTCTCATCAAATCAAACAAAAAAATTTATATTTGGACAAATAATGTGCACCAAACGAGGGCTATAGTGGTAGAATGGAAACTTCAGCTGCCTATGTATAAAAACTAAGGACTCCTCAACACCAATTTCGAAACTCGTAAGCAAATGAGAAATATAATTAAAAAAAATAGAAACCAATTTTAATTAATTAACAAGGAAACAGTTAATTTCTTGCGCAAGGGACAAAAAAAAAACTTGAGCTAAAAGAAGGTTTCCTACATTAAACATCATGGACCGACAGACCATGTCATTATTCCAATAAATTAAGCCACAAGAAAAATCAATTTTTGATGGAAAAATTTGCTAGGAAAGACTGCCACGCGTCCAAAAACTAAGAGGTACTTGTCAAGTGTATGAAATACGAAAATGATAATTAATAATAAAAGTTTATATTATTTTTCAAATTAACAAGGTCGAATTTCAAGATCAAATTTAAATAATAAAATGATAATTATTACAAATTAAAAAGTTTATATGAAGATCGATTTAAACAAACGAGATTAAGCCCTGTTTGACGTAAAATTCAGTTTTTAATTTAAGTTAAAGTTAATAATTTATTTTAACAACATATTTTATGAGACATACAATTTTTCAACCACATGTTTCATCTTTTTTTTTATCAATATGTACTAAAAATTTGATTTTAATCATCAACAGACCGGAGCTACATATTAAAACACTAGTTAGTACTTCCATACGAATATACATATTGCATGTTTTGACCGATTGACCAAATTGCAATAAAATTTGATCAAGACGTTAAAATGAATTACTGCATAATAATAATAATAATAATAATAATAATAATAATAATAATAATAAAAGAAAGAAAGAAAGANAATGTTAAAAAATCTATAACTACAAAATTAGCATCTTCATTGTACATATTCAATCATTTCTATACTTTAAAATTAAACGAATTAATCATTTTCTAATATAAATCTTTTTGGAAATTGATTTCTGATGACTATTTAACTATAGGTACATGACTCAACCCATTTGGAACACTAACGATACCAGCAATATAACCAAATCCGTACATCGTACGGCCTAAAACTAGTAATAATAAAAGAAAGAAAGAAAGAAAGCGTAAATAAAGTGAAATTTCGGAATAATAATAATAATAATAAAGAAAGAAAGAAACATTTCAAATATTTAACAAATTAATAAGTCAAATGCCAGTTTGCCGCACAGGAAATGGAAAAAGTCAACATGTGCATGTATATATTTTCGAATGGGTCATGTGAGCTAATGAAGTACTCAATCAAGTTGACATTTAACCTACACTCATGTTTATAAATTATTTATAAATAATTAAATCACCATTTATTCGCATATTTTAAGAGAACTACGGATACTATCCAGTATCCACTTATTCGTCACTCATTTTTATCTATTTATAATTTTAATAGTCTATAAGTACTTACTTTCTAAACGTGGTTTTAAGTCTAATTGTGCAGTGTTTCAAACAAAATTTTCCTTCGAGTCGCTCTATCTTTTGTCATGGTTAATGATTGATCAATGCATCCGGTCCAAACCATCGATCGATGTGGGCAAATGTTGATTTACTAATTTGTTTCTTGCCTTTACCTTTCCGAATTAATCCCTACTTGATTTGGAATAATTAAGATGTTTCCCTTTGTTAAACATTGGACTATGTTATGCATATACCATCTTTTAAGAGAGGCAATCCATCGTAAGGATGAGACAATTTGCAGGATTTCTTCTAAATACAACTCGTTGATCCATTTACTAAAGGCATACCTGCTGCTTGTATTAAGGCTCGTATCAATGGCATGGAGCAGAGTCAGCACTCGACGAAGGCACAACCGTGCGTGCTGGCTCTGTCGGAGTTTACAGTCACTGCTAGCGCTGGGTTAAAATTCACAGTGGCCGTGGGGTGGAAGAAGATGAAATAGTTTGGCCGTTTGGACTTTGGGCCTTTTTTTTGTTTTAATTTTGGGTCTCTTGTTTTTAAAATAAAATCATGCCCAATTATCAATTAATCAACCATTTCAATTTCTAAATCAATTCATTTTGACCTGGTTCTCCCTCCTCACCGCCCTGCTGCCGTTTGCCCCTTTCTCTATGATTGTTGATGATGCTGGCGAGCTTCGACGATGGCCTCTCCGCCATCTCTATTTTTTGCCCCAACAAATTGGAAGAAAAGAAGGTATTTCCCTTCTCTTTATAACCACTGAGTTTTTCTAGTTAAATACATTTAAATTGAAATGCTTGATAATGGTTTTTGTCCTCGAAACACAGGAAGAAAAATACTTAATTTCATCGATTTTATGTGGAATCCACTTTCTGATTTCATCACTCTCGTCTCTCAGCTGTAAGTCATGCCGCTTATCTATTTTATTTTATTTTATTATGTTATAACTTATGAGTTATTATGACAGTGAAAGAAGAAGGTAAAAGAATAATATGTGGATATTGTGTAGAAGAATTAAGAAATGTATTAAGTGACTACGTGAGAATGTGGTCTTTCTGTGGTGAGAGAAGAAATTAGAAGAATAAGAGGGCCTCTAGAAGGGGAGAGAGAAATAGCGCAGTTGTCTTAGTTGACTTTCATTTTAGTGTATTTTCGAATAGATTGAAGGATTTTCAATATTATTTAATTAAATATTAATAAATGACCTAATTATTACGGATGTTGACTATCAACGGTCAACGGTCAAATTCCGCGTTAGCTGGCTTATAATTATGGATTCGCCACTGCATGTGAGACACTTTAGAGCAAGTGTGAGATTGTTAGGATATACACATATTCTTTTCGTCAATTAACAAATATAGTGCTATTTACTCATTTAAATTGTTCATTGCATATTTGAGTGTGCAAATAAGGGTCATCGATCGCATTATGATAATTTGAGTTAAGTACGAAGTGTACAAAATTATAACTAATGCTTCGATCAAAAATAATTTGTCCTAGAAATGCTAGTAGAGATTGGTACTCTATTGGATTGTAGGTTCAATTACTCTACTAATTAAGGTACATTATTTGTCTTGACCACAACAATTATTCGTTCAAGGATAATAACACTAGCACACTTGAAAGTGTAACGAACCAGACCACGTAAATTATTGATTAATTTATAGTGGGAACGTGCTAAGAAATTAATGACACGCAACTATCTTATGGGTTATCTAAATTTCTTACTGGTTAGTTGTTGCTATTACAAAACTTGAAGTTCTTTGATATACTAATAAGTGACATCAATTTATCATACTTGACGTTGATATGTTAGGAACTAACGTTAAGGGACAAATCAAATATCGAATAAAGATGAAAACAAAATTAATTTATAAAGATTTGTGCTACTTTTCTTATTAAGGTTGACATTTTAAGAAGGAATCATAAGTTTTAACATGATGTCAAAGTCCATTAAACTCTAATGAGCAATTCGATCTAATTAAAACTAAAAAAAATGAGTATGCGAATTTTAAGATTGGTCTGCCGAACCCACTCCGTATACACCTACACAAGGCGAAGTTAAACTGATCCTCAAGTGCAGACAACCCATTTTTTCCCACAAAGCAAGACTGGAACAACCCTATTGCATGCAAACCCCATGGGAAGAGCAGGTCCAGGGTGAGACGGTGAGAAGATCCTAAATAGATCTTGTATTATGTGATTGACAAGGTAAGTCACTGTCATCTCCATCTCCGAAAACCTATTTGGTCAAGTCTAAGGCCGCATTTAAGACTGTGATTGATTGATATCTATGACAAAAGAGGTTAGTCATTTAGATGGGGCCATGTGCATCGCCCTCTAACGGACTTTATCCGTCATACCCAAATATAAAAGCCTGTACTTAGTGACATTCAAAGGTAATATAACTTTAGACTCTTAAAGCTAAAATCTTGCTACAATATTTATTTTACCCCAAAGCCGGACCCCCTTTTTTATATCGGAGGCTCAAGTTTAAAACTATCTCACGCTCATTCAACTATTTTCTCCAATTGATTTGACAGTTAGAGTGCGCACGATCAACTTCACCCCCTCCGAAGAGGCCATGTGTGACAAACGGTTTGTCCAAGTGTTCAAGAACCGAACTTATGTGGACGTGAGAGTCATTGAGATCTGTTGGTCACATCATTAGTACATTTTTGGGGGTCGACAATAGCAATATTTAAGAATGAGATTGGAGCAATTGCTGACCATTTTACAATTCGGGTTCAGAATTAATCATGCTTTCAGGGTAATTTCACAATCCTTTTTATAATTAATTTTAACTAGATTTTTGCTTATTTTCCAACGATAGCAACAACTGCCTTATTACATTGTGATCAGCTTTAATCATACCCCTCTTAATCTTATCCCCTAAATCAATACGGTGTATTAAATGCATCCAAAATCATGCATGCAATGGAAATGTCTTACCTCATCAAACAAAGAATTTCATGTAATTCATTTCTTATTGAGTCACGATTTGATAGCATTTACATTTTTCCTAATATTGTAGCTTGGAAGCTAAATGCATATGAAAAATTTACTCCTAAGCACGCATGAATATGTAATCCACCTCAATTTAAATCATTTGCATTGGTGCTTATTGAAATTTTGAGCAGAAATTAATTTTTTTAGCAAAATTTTCAACCTTCTCGATCCTATGCCAGGCCTTAGAACACCATATTTTTCACTCTGCAATTCCGAGCATTTTTCTTGAGTATCCTCGCCCTTAGAACACCACCCTCCATAAGCAAATTGTCTGGACCCTCTTTTAAGAAGTTCACGATCAATCTTGTTCAGTACTACGTCGTTTTTCTTGAACTTCCGGGCAAATGGACGATTGTTTAGGACAAGTTTTCTATAATCTCTCAATCCAAGTGATCTAGGATGCTGCTTTGGAGGGTTGTCCCAAGTGATGTAATGAAGATCATGGTTCACCGTCGTGTTCTTATAATCCTCGGAGTTGCATATGACTGTTTGAAAATAACCCTCTGGTGATGACACAAAATTTGTGTAGTAAAGAAGAAGAGTCCTAGGTAGATTGTCCCACCCGACTACGCAATATTCAGCGAAGGATCTTGATAACACTGTCCATGCTGAACCTGCATATATAAATTAGTATTATGCAACTTAGTAGTACATAATGCTTATAACACATTTGGTATATTGAACTGGAATACAATTGATGAAAAAAATAAAAAAAAATCGTTACTTATCAAAGATATAGCGTTGTTTACTTTGATAATCGAATTGTTTATATCTTTTTATTTTTGTTTCAATTTAGACAATTCTTCTAATTATGTCTCTCGAATGAAACTGAATTACTATTTTATAGAATGATTAAGAAAAAATATTTTAATAACATGTTTGATAAGTGTATAAATTATTTAAATTATAAATAGATACAAACGAGTGATAAATAAGTATATAATATTTGTGAATCTTTTAAAATATATGAATAAAAAATTAATTGAATATAAGCAATTTGTAAACCTTAGCCAAACATAAGCTGCTAGACACGAATTAGTGGGCATGTGGGATTTTGGATAATTTATAAGAGCCCAAAAATAAATGGACCCTCTAATTCACAAGTCACAAATATCAAGAAGGAATCTATGAACTTGTGTGTGGAAGGCCGACATCCAATCAAAAAGGCACGTGCTCATAAATACCGACATGTGACACTACTTGGATTACGCTGCCTCTTAGTAGTAACCTAGGTGCCCCTTGGACTCCATTAAAAAAAAAAATTCTAAAGACAAATCAATGTTTGACACTTCTGATTCTGTTATGCCATCTGTCAATCCTTTCTGTCAGTGTAGCAAAAGTCTTTTCTTCATCTGTAACGAATTATAGAAGACTTTCCTTGTTGAGGTTATAGTTGATTTTTTAGTTTTCTAATATATCCTTGTTTAATGTGTTTTGTTATCAATAAAACCTGTTTGGTATGGATTTTGATTTTCTACAGTAAATCAATTCTCATTTTCAACCACACATTCTTCAATAAAATAATATTTTCCATCACATCAATACTTTTTTATTCTTTTTCAACCACACATTTCTCATCTATTCTTCAATAAAATAATATCTTTCATCACATCAATATTCTTTTCTTCTTTTTCAACCACACATTTCCCATCATATCACTATTCAAAATCAATTCTTCCCCCAAAAATTCCTACCAAACAGGCTCATAAAATATTTCTATTTAAACAATTATTTAAAGTGGGGCATATTAGAAAAAAAATTTAAAGAAATGGAAAATATTTTTTGTACATAATTATTTATATAATATTTTACATAATGATGAGGTGTCAAAATAAAAGTGAGGAAGTTATTTGATTGATGAAATTTTGATCCAATTAAATTCGTCACATCATCTGTTATTAAACCATTATGTAAGTTGTTATGCACGTATAGCCCAACTGAAAAAAAAAATTTATGTTTCCAACTATATTAATTATATTTTCTTAATCTATAAGAAAATGAAAACAAGTTTATCTTCATAGAATGGAAGGAGTATTTTTATAATTACTACAAAACACATTTTTTTACTTACAAGTAAAAGTAATAATACATTTGAAGACAAAAAGGAATTAGGGACTATAGTTGTTGAGTAAATAAATGGTGATATATTTTAGGTGGTAAAATGGTGTGCCTAATGCATATTCTAAGGTTTTATGATTCCTGAAAGTGACTTTAATGTGTAATAAAATCAATCACCACCAAACATGACTCACTACCAAACATCTATATCATGTATCTACCATCACATATTTCTAAAAATAATAATAAAAAGAAAAAAAAAATATATATATATATAACGATAATTAAAAAAAAAGAAAAAAAAAATATATATAACGATAATTAAAGATCTGTCTCGAAATCGTAAGCCATACATACGACGTTTTAGTCCGTTTTCTAGATATTAAAAAGAAGATAACGTTTATCTAAGATCGCGATTATACTAGTCAGAAATAATAGGTATATTATACTGAACTCGAGATAACAATTATTATTTTAATTGTTATATTTAGTAATTTTCGGACAGCAACATGATATTAGTCTTGGAAATGGAACATAAAGGCTTAGGCCTTGCAGGTTTTGTAGTAGAATTATTTGAAGGCCTATGCAACGATAAGAAAGAAAGTTTTTTGAGGTTACGAAGTCACTGAGTCGAACCATAAAGAAAGAGGGGTTTTAAGGTTACGAAGTAAGGTCAGTTCGTTAACGAAAGTTCAGCCCATGAAATCGCTTAGCAGTTAAGCAAAAATGGTTTGTATATTTCGTATATCGAAATTGAGATAACAATTATTATTTTAATTTTAATGTTTAATAATTTTCAGACAGCAATATTTTATTATTCTGGGTATGGAACATAAAGGCCTTGCAGGGTTTTGTAGTAGAACCATTTACTTTAGGACCTTTTGTGTAGGGTATTGTGTTCAGAGTTAACATGTGCTGCTACTCATAAAATTTTCTAAACCAGAAATACCTGTATAAAGCTTAAAAGCAGTAGGCAGACTTCTTTGCTTGATAACCCACCAAATTTCTGATTTATTTACACTGTACAAACCAGGGTCTATTATAATTGGTTTTCCTCTTTTGTTCCTGCCAAAAAAATGCGCTAATAATTGATATGGGATCTCAAAATAAACAAGTTCACGTGCGTAACTACACTTACACACCTTGGTACACAACCATCTCACATGTTTGTGAGTCCACAATGTGGATAATGGGGCCCACATTGGACTGACACACATGTGAGAGGGTTGTGTACCAAGTATGTACAAGTAGCATTTTTCCAAAATAAAAGTCTTACGTTTTCCAACCCAAACGGCTGCTGTGCTGTATAAAATTTAGATCTCTAGGCAGGTCAGAAAAAGAATGGATCAAATCTGGAAAAACATGAAGAAGAGAACACAAAATTATACAACAATTTCTTGAAAGAAAACATGAAAAGAAAAAAAAAGGGCACTCACCTTACCATCTTGAGTTACTAATGGATAATCAGATGCACTGAGATTAATAAACCAATCCCAATTTGCAGTCCTCAAAAGCATAGACATTGCATGTAGTGTTGTAGCAAGCATAGTAGGGCCTCTGTAGGTGACTAAATTACCCTTCTTCACAATCCAAACATTCCCAACTTCACTAAAAACAGGATTACTTGACACAAATCTTGAAATTTCTTGATGCTCAACCTGAGGGGCACCATTGTCCAAATGAATCAGGTAAAAATTCCCAGGATGGTAGAGTGCGAGCATTAGGCGTTTTAACTTCATAGTGTCTCCACTGGATGCTGAGATCAAGTAAGCAAAAGAGACTGGATATGGGGTGCTATTTTTTGTTATTATTAAGGTTTTGCTTTGTCTGAAAATGGTGATCGGGTGTGTTAATTTTGTGGGCATGTAAACGAGGAAGAAAGTAAGTGAAGTTAGAATGAATGAAATCAAGAAAATCTTGATATCCATTTTTTTCCAGGAATTTTTGCAGCAAAAATTGGGCAATTTTTGTGGCTGTTAATGACTTAGGAAGAGTTAAGATGAAAGTTTATTTGGCTTTCTTTCTTGGAAGGGAAGGGCTCCAACTGTCATCCTCTTTCCTGAAGTTTGGTAGGTTGGTCTATGAACTTTTTATTGTGCTGCTACTTTAAGCTAAGTGTGAAGAGGTGTCCCGGTCCACCCGGTCCCAGACGGTTCGGTTTGAGATACGAGTTACACGAATCTTGACTCTGTAAAAGTCGGTTTTTTATTTTTTTTATGTTTGAAAAATTAATTGAAATGATTAAAAATCTGTTGAATACCATATTAGTGTGACTAGCTATTGGCTCCACTTCGTTGTATTATTATTATTACTATTATTCTGTATTAAACAAATAGACGATATCGACCTTATTTATAAATAAATTTTGGCTTTATTTGAATTAAAACGGTTCTTTAGAGGTTTAGAAATTTATTTTACACAAATTAAATGAATAAGATACTTTCAAACAAATGGGTAAAACAAAGAATTCAATTTTAGCTGATACTAAGCACTTACCAAAGAACAAATGCTTTTGGCTGATAAGTGAAGAGTAGGGATTGTTATTTCTCTTTATAAATAGTTGTGATCGTTCACATATTAATTAACCTTTTTGACGGTATTTCTAGATGGACCTTTCTTGAAAACGACATGCTAAGAGGCGGATTTAGTCCTGGGCTGACCTTGGTTGTAGCCAAGGCCGGCCAAGCCCAAATCTATGTTTTACTTAGGGAAAAAGAATTATAGTGTATTAAAAAAAAAAAATCGTGGAGCTCTCGCGTTGTCCCTCCACATGCTACAAAAATCGAGAAGTGGACCTTTCTTGGAAACTTATTTCCTACAAAAATTGAATGTTAAGGACACTTATTTTCACACATTCGTTAAATGAAATCTTCCCAAATCTTTCCAAATGTGAAAGGAGTTAATTAAGGAAACTACGCAGATCGGGACTCATCGCTGTATGTGGTTTTTGTGTGGTTTGGGCTTGATAGTCGTTTTAGACATCATGTGTTTTGGTATTTTGAGTGTGGTGAAGTGGTGGCCTACTTGGGTAGTATCGACGGCTGTGGAGTTTTGCCTGCAACGGATCAGTTCAATAGTGTGGAGGTGGAGGTGGCCGTAGTGTTTGTTGATTGCAGGTGTTAGGTGCAAATGGTGGTGATAGGTTGGAGGTGGAGATGATGGCGAATTCATGGTGGAAGTGTAAGAGGAAGTGGAAGTGGTGGTGGTGGTGGTGTGGATTTGAGGAATTCACATTTTCTGATTATATGCGAATTCGTGACCATTTATATATTAACTATGGCCCTTTATGACCAAATCTGTTTTTATTGTGATTGTTTGTGACAATATATGTTTTAACTGTGACTGTATGTGACCAAATTAACAATTATTTCGTCACATACAGTCATAGTTTAGCCTAACATTGTCATGTACAGTCACACTGAAGATAAATTTGATCACAATTAATCATAGATAATACAAGTACGATCACAAACAATAACAACTTACATGGACATGCTCACAAATAATAACTTACAAAGATCTATTCACAAATAGTCACTATTAAATAGAACTTGGTCACATACATCACAAAACAGACAATCAATAGGTCACAGTCATGCTGAGATTTATGAAATACAAAAATCTGTTCAGAAATTATGAATTATGAAATACATACAATCAATAGCCTAGGGATCTATCTGGATGCATCAATTGGGCATCTCAATATCATAACAATTAAAAAAAAAAACCTTAATTTCATCAACCATTATTATTTGAATTACAGTTATTTCCACGAAACCTATCCGTAAACTCCAATATCGAAATTGAAGTGCATTTGCTTACAATAGTGACAATATTGTGATTTCATACGTTGATTGTGGTAAAAATTGAAGATTTAAAGATAAATCTTAGTGATTTTGGAGAGATTTTGAAAATCGGGAGAATATTGAGAGAGAATTAAAATTTGATTGTGTGAGAGTGATAAATATCTAGTATTCTTTTTGTGTATTTATCACCTGATTTGTGCAACTATTTTATAAGATTGTTAGTTATGAAACGTGATTCCTATAGTCTAGTAGCCGTGTATTTTTCTTGAAAATTGTGTTTGATTTGTGCAACTATTTTTAGTGTACAGTTGTTTCTTTACATCATGGTTGACATTATCCATGTTGTCAAGAATTGATTGAATAAAAAATATATTTTATGTTTCAACTGTCCAATAAAATAATGACATGTGACAGAGTATAAAAAATAATGTAAAATATAATGTACACCAAACATGATTCTAATATAATTGATAAATCCACATTAATCAAGGTAATAATAATTAAGGAAGCAATTACACATGCGCAGGTGCTTAATGTGGATTTATCAATTATATTAATTAAAAAAAATCAAATTCTTCCACAATATAGGGGTCGCCCCCTAGTTTTCTAAAAAAAATCACTGTTTAAATAAAGAAAATTATATTTCTTACTATAACATCTGAGTCTCAAAGTATCATCATATTTTTATATTTAATTATACGATCGAGATAATCCAAATTTCTATAATTAAGTTATGTTCTATGTTTAGTTAATATAAAAGAAGAATAATAACAAATAGACAATATGCAGAAGAAAATCAACGTCTGAAGCATGTATTTATTGTTAGTTCATTTGAATTTCATTTAAATGATTATCTTTTTTTTCTTTTTGAAGGATTGAGATTTAATAAAATGAGGTAAAGTAAGTCCAGCCTTGTTTGAGACCCATGTTTTGTAAAAAAAATTCATTCTTGACTAGCTTTCAATTTGCTTATGAGATTTTTTTTTTTTTTTTGAGATGTTAATTTATTTTGTACTGTGTTAAATGTGAATTAAGTTTTCATGATCAAGAAAGTAACATTGTATGTCTGTATTTTTACTTTATTTTGATTATATATATTTTTTCCTTCCAAAATACTTTCTAATAATCTTTCAAAAAACCTAAATTTTAGAAGTATTTTGTAAGTTGCTCTTGTTTTTTTCCATTGGCCTTTCTTCTAATCACTTAAGGGTTAGTTTCAATGTCAAGTTGCGAGTCAATTCAAATCTAACAAGATATAGTTCCAACATTCAAATTTCATATATCTGAACAAAAAAGCACTAAAAATTTATTGATCTTGGATTTTGCATGTTGACAGGCCAATAGATCCCAACTCTACTTATGTCTATGTAGGCAAGCTCCGGTACACTTGGATAGATCGTTAGAAGCGCATGACCTTCTCGAACGATGGGGGAGGCAGTACGAGTGTTCCGATGATCAAGTCAGTCAAGAAAAGGAGAATATTTGAGTGTAAGATGGTAGGAAGAAGTGAGCTACCTTAGTATACGGATCTAATCGAACTTACTAACTAACTGCCACGTGATAGTAATCTAGAGCATCATTAGAAAAGACATAACAAAAATCTCAACGTTTTGAAAATCCGCCCACATATTAACTTGAAAGTGTCAAATTGAAGTCTAACTTGTGATTAAAAATATTTTAAGTAAAAAAAAATGAAGTGGACTGGCCAGATGTTAAATCCTAACTTGAAAAAATAAAAGTTTGAGGTGGACTGGTCGAATGTTAAATCCTAACACTTTTGAACAGTTTTTAATTTTCTGGTTTTTCTTATATAACCAGGTCGATTCCAATTTTTCCAGTTGAATTGACGATTCAAGGTTTCAAAATATTGAAATTTCTATTGAATATAGAGAAAATGTCATAGGATTTCCAATTTTATTGCTAATTCCTATTCTCATTTTCTTTCTCCTTGAATCTCATCACAATTTTACTACGGTGAATTAAAAAGATTTGATCAAAAAAAAAAAAAACTAACTACTGTAGCATATCTTTCTTTTTAATCACACCCCTTCCCATATATCAAACATAGCCAATATGCCCCCCCCCCCCAAAAAAAAAAAAAAAAAAAAANCACGACAAACCTCAATTTCTTCTAAAAAAGTAACCATCCTCCCTAATTGGTGCCCAACTGCCTCACGAGATTCATAATGCCCTCGCTCAATAAAGAAATCACCTCTGCTGACCTTTCTTTATCCACCGCCATATTTTAGAATAAATTTTGTAAAAAGTAATTTTTTTCGAGGATGTGACTTAAAAATAGGGAAAAAAAATTTGATTTTTGTGAATGCGTTGTTAAAAAAGAAGTTCAAGAAAATGGGACGAAACAAGGCCTTGCTTAAACTTTGAAGGATGAGTCATGAGGCTTATAAGGAAGTAGGAATCAGTCAGTGTCTTAAAAGAAGAACTTAGAGAAGACTTCCAACTAATTCCAATCGTGTAAAAGTGGTTTTTAAGTTGAAAATTCTGTTCTTGTTGAAACTGGGGATACAAGAATCTGCGTGAAGAGCCCAAAAATTTGGGCCAAGAAACACACTACAAGATCAAATCAGTAATAAAGAAGGAACCTCTGGTGGGGGTATCCATTGAATACTGCAGCAATAAATAGTCAACGTCTTCAATACAGCATTCCATCTAGGGTCTGTAATTCTCTCTTTCCGCGCACACACTACAACCCAATTCTTGTTTCTGATCTTTCTTAACGCATCCCTTGCTTCTTATACTGGCCTATCTGCAATCCCACTTCTTGTTCTTGGTCTTCTTTCTCAAAATTTATTAATGACTTGCTTCATGTTGACTCGTTCATTTTGAATGCAGACAGGAAACCAGTAAAATACACCCACATCAAGATGACCGGGGGAAACTTCTTTAACAAGCTCTTTCAGTATATTTTCTACTTTCACGTTCTCCTTGTCACCATCTTGGTCATCATTCTCACGATTCGAGGTGCCCTATCAGCTGTTCACACCCATGATTTCCATCCAAAGGAGTGGTATATGTCCGTCCTTGCTTCAACGGCTTGTGCTGGAATTATAGGTTTCACATGGCAAGCATTCACAAGAACCAGTCCTTCAAGAACTGTTAGGGTTGCATTTTGGCTTAGCCCTCTTCTTACCTGCGCAATTGGGATTTTACTCATCTACATAGGCACGCCAGTGAGTTCAGCAGCCTCTGCTATTGCCTTTCTTTCTGCCCTTATTCAATCCTTGTATGCATGCTGGGTTAATCCTCGTTTGGAGAATGCCACACGTATAGTGAAAATTTCTATTGGACACCGTCCTCCAAAAGTCATGGTTATACTTCTATCAATCATCATAGGTACTCTTTGTTCAGCTTTCCTGGTAACCGGCATTGGAGGAGCCACTGCCACCAGAACTAAGGTTGACTCTCTATTCATTTTCCTAATCATCGCAAGCTTCACATGGACCATGCAAATCATCAGGAATACAATGCACGTTGCTGTGTCCTACGTCAAATATATGCAATTTGCACACAATATAGATGTTGCATTTACGGCAGCATTCAAAAGCACAATTAAACATTCAATGGGGAGTATTTGCATTGGATCTATTCTTGTACCCATTGTTGGAGTGATCACAGGAATAGCTCGAGCTGTAAGTTTGGTATCAGGCGATGTAGATGAGTTCATGTTCTCGTGTGCAGATTGCTGTTCAGGAATTGCCTCAAGGCTTGTAGCATATGGAAACAGATGGGGTTTTGTGCATGCAGGGGTGTACAACAAAGGAATGGTGCAGGCATCAATTGAGACATGGGAATTGTTTAAAACACATGGAATTGAAAAGACGATAGATTCTGATCTCACCAGTTCATTCTGCTTTCTAACTGGGGTAGCAACAGGATCCCTATGTGCACTAATAGGAGGCATATGGTCATTTGTGATCCATAGGAGCTATGCAACTGGAGTGACAATGTATACCTTCTTAACTGGATATCTTGTGGTAAGTATCCAACTCTTTCGGGGATCTTTCACTCAGGGTTTTTCTTTTCTAAAAGAACTAAAACTGATTTAAAAATTGTGTGAAATGCAGAGTAGGGTGGCCATGGCATGGGTACAAGCTAGCGTTTCAGCATATTATGTTGCTTACTCAGACTATCCCCAGAATCAGGAATTGGATGCTGGACGCCCATCTAACATGATGGAGGATCCACAGAGATCACGAGTATAGCAGTCAAGGGCAGTTTTGACGGCACATCTCACAGATTACAGATACAACCAGTATGCTAAACAGAGAATTCTTGATACTTTAAGAAATATTAAATATACTGCATTGTAATTGTAGCCACGCGATTATTTCTATTCATTTTACAATTGTCTGGATAAGTAGAGAAACAATTACTGATAGATTTGAGACATTCACAGATTTGTTAGGAGCATTTAGCAATAAAAGTTTTTGCAACCAACATATTTCATATCTCCCTATTCCAAATATCTACTTTACAATCACCACGAGTTTTCAGCGGAATTCTCAACATGCAGGATATACTTCATTCAATCCTTCTTTCTCAAAAATAAAAGATAAATAGAACAGTAAAATTAATTATATTAAGGTTGTGTTTGATACACAACCTTTTCCTTGGAAAATGGAAGAGTGATGTTTGATGGAAGAAATTTGGCCAAGAAAAATTTTTCCACCCCCCCACCCCACGCACCTTATTTCCTTGTTTTTAGGGAAAAGCTTTTCCCGGTGCTGCTGTCCCTTTTTTTATTTTTATTTTTTTTGCCAATGAAAAAAAATTTCATAACTATTTATAAAAAAAATTTCACTTTAATAGACAATTTTCATGTAAAACAAAGCCAAACGTATACTAAACTTTGATAAAAAAAAGATTTTTTTAGAAAACTTTTTGGCAATGAAAACAAATTTTATAACCAATTGTGGAAAAAAATATCACTTTAATGGACAATTTCCATGTAAAACTAAGCCAACCGGACACAAAATTTAAAAATTTTCCACCTAAAAAATTATACCAATCAAACACACTTAATTAACAATTCCATGTAAAACAATTTCTAGGCAATTACTTTCCCTCGAATTCATTTTTTTTCTACCCATTTTCCACCCCTGCAATCAAACGGACCCTAAAAGAATTTACCCAGACACTTCATAATAAATTCTGGTTTCACTCGTCACATATTACAACAAAAATTTAAATACTCTACATGTCTTGAACAGTTTTTATTGGATATGCATTTCCTTGCTAGAAGTTCACATCCCAGAAGAAAATTGATATAATGAAAAGCAAATCTGGTATATCAGGCTAATCCAATGTGACCACGGCCTCCACATTCAGAACACATAGTATTTCCAGTTCCACCACAACCTGCTTGGTTAAAAAGGAAACATCAACACTCCCCAACAGATGCTACTCCTTGAAGAAGTATATGTATTCAGAATCTAAAACCATTTAAGAACACAACCTAAAACACATGTATATAGACAAGCTTCGACCACCTCCGCCACAGTATTTAGTGATTTTATGAAATTGTTAGTCTCCTATTTCCATAAATCAGCATGTGTTAAATCACTGATTAACAATGTAGAACATGTTGATCTCCTCAAAGACACAGAGTTCATCTTTGAAGAATGCTTTTTTAACTCCAAGCATTGAGCTTGTCGAAAACAAGTCTCTAACAAGACAAAATAAGCTCGTTTATTTGGCTAGGAAATATCATTGGTTTAGTCATTGCAAAAAATCCACTCAAACTCATCAAGCATGGAAGAAGAGAATAATTTATTTTCCTTCCCCATTTCATGGTAAGTAGTAGAGACGCAATATCAACAAATATAATAGCAAAAGAATCAAGAGAACAGATCAGAACATTACCTAGACAACGAACTTTCACAATGATTCCTTGACTCTCCAAGATAGAGTCTATGTATAAGCCTGAACCAGAGCAAGTGATGCAAAGAACAGCTCCTTTTGCTTGACAACTTGGGCAGCGAGGATTATCACCAACATTTATTTCAGTGAGGGACAAACCAATAGGCTTCTCAATTATTTCCTCTGGAATAGGCTTGTCATAACAAAAAAGAGATTCGAGACTGCTTCTCCTATGTACATCACCAACAGCACGTGCCATAGACTGCAACTTATCTCCAGTTAGCCATTTGAGTTTGTTACAATTTACAAGCGAATTTTAGAAAAGGGGTGAAAAGGAAGCTGCACGTACACTTACAATGGAATTGCATAGTATATTCGTTGCTCAATATTTTAATTTTTAATAGCATATCATGATACAGGGGTAGCCGAGTTTTCTGTTCAACATTTCATAACCTGCTCCTCTCCTTGCAAAACAAATGAAAAGGCAAGCACCATTTCAAATAGCTCAAAAATTTGGCATCCATGATTTTAAAAATAATCACCATTTAAAGGTCATACTTATATCCTTTTCTCATTCTAGTTGGGTGGAAGAGAATGATGTAGGACAATTTTATTACAACTAGGAAGAGAAATTATTACTTATTGTAATAGGATTTTATTTCTTGTTTACATTACTACTTTTTATTCTTTTAGGTTTTTGATTACTTATTCTATTAGGTTTTAATTACTTAACTTCAGATTATTTTGTCTTTGTAAACAAAGGCTTCATTATTTTTTCAATAACCAATTCATTACAATAAAATTATTCTCGACGAAATTTCAGTTGGCTCTACTTTATTCTTATTTCAAGAACTCGAATTTCGCTTCCGCACCAGGGGATCACAAGGTTCAATGTTGTTCTTGATACATAAGGTGTTCAGATATTAAACTCTTCCCCTGGTGGTGCCTGTATTCAAGCTTGAGAAAAAAAGAAATAGGTAAAGCATTCTTCAGCATTTTCAATTTCATTTTTTGTGAAACAATTTATGACTTGACCTCGTAGCTGAGCACCTATCCGAACTTGCAAAGATCAGCTACGACTGAATTAATTTTGTCCAGAAGGTGAACACAAACTGTCGTTTTTCCTATTCACGAGTTGCATAGCGCAAACAAAACCCTTGTTCCATACTGTATTTTAGACATTAATACAGCATTACTTCCAAAAAATTTGATAATTTGAACACTTTATAGGGGTTCAACAGCGTCGATATTACTAAAATGGCTAATTGGTTAAAAAACAGCTCCTTGTATTATATTTGTAATAAACAGGATGGTCTGTTGTTCAATTATGCCTGATTTCATCGTAGTTCATAGTAGTATTGTCTATTTTGTGTAGTTATTTTCTCATTTATTGCATGTAATTACGCCGTACTCACCCAAAACAAAATTACGAAATTTAAAAGTAAAGAATTCAATACCATTCACTTCATAAAACCACATTTTACAAGCACAACATGGTTTCAATTGTTATTATACATCTTTTTGACTTCCTAATTCTCCATTTTAATTTTCTCAATAAATTATTTAAAGTCTCCGATCTTGCAAAGAATATGAATCCTCTGACAATTTACCAATTGAATAAAACAAAATTTCAAACTGCATCTACACAAATACAGCATAAATTGTAAACTACAGATTTACCATCAGAAATTAGAATGCGAAGTATAAATACTAACCCGTGAGGAAGAGGAAGAGGATAAGCGAGAAACGGCATCGTTTGTGTGAATTCTGTATAGCTTTTCGGATATAAATCTGGGATTTCTATGTGAATAACAATTGAATTGTGAAAATTTAGGTAATGAACAAATTGAAGGTGTTGTCTGCAGCGCACAATCCATTTTTTTCGTTAGAATTTATATGCCAGAGCAATAAAGAAGCGAAGTTTGGAGCAAAACCTTTCAGTGCCTTGATATTATTTTATATTTATTTGAGTTTTGTTTCTCAATTAGGGTTTTTAATGTTTGATGATTTTCAGGATATGAATTGTTTCATCGGCTCAGTGTTAACGAGTAATCAGAGAAATGTTACTCTCCAGTTTATTTACTCCAATTTTCTACGGTGTGAATTAAAGTCGTAGAGAGAAATTTAAATTCGGTTAGATAACTCTAGTAGATACGATAAGGTGAAATTGACATTGCAATTTGCAGGTAAATAATTGGAGGTGAGAGTACACTATGTTCGAATAATTTAAATTACAATTATTATGCCTAACAGCGTTTTAATGCAAAGTAACAAGGCATGTTTGGTGCGATTTAAAAGGTACTTTTTCTTAATTTATTTGAAGTATGTGTATGCTTAAAAGAAATATTTTAAAAGTGATACTCCACATGTTGAAGCTCTCTAGAAACTTTATACACTTTTTAATATTAACGAGTATATTAATTATATAATTTCGATACAACAATTCAAAGGATAAAGAAGTAGTATCTGTTGGAAAATTTGAAATTGGTTGTGATCAATTTAAGTGATTATTTAAGTGGAATTTTTT